GCCCTAAAAACACCAAGAACACAGATTTGCATCTCACACTTCCATTGTTGCAGATTCTGGCCAAAAATCCCAAAACCAAAAACTACTTGTGTGTTTCTTGGCTTCTTGCTTCCAAAAGCTTCTAAACATCATTTAGAAGTCATCCCTTCCCCTGTTACAGTTCTGTAACACCATCTTCCTCCATTTTCAAGTTCAAAAACAGAGCACTGTAAGTGGACTTCTCCAGGCCATTTCAACCACTCTCCAACCAAACTAATCATTGCATTAACTGCCTGGGACCTCAGTGGAGCTTTTCTGATCATCACAACACCTTGAGGAATGCTCATTTGCAGAACACGATTTCCAGTTTTGAGGTAAGTTAGCTAAATTTTGAACTCTTCATACAAGCACCATTAATGGTTTATTTCTGAATGAAAAATGTAGATATCATTGCTCAAAAGCTAACCATGTCCATAGTTTTCATTTATGTTGCTTAAGCTTAGAGAATTTTAAGATTGAAGTTTCTGAAATTTTTAGGGTTCAGATTAGGGCCATTAAAATTCATGCTTGTCTTTGATCTATAATTTTATTGCTTTGCATTTCTGAAATCGTGAGAAAATTTGCCACAAGATTCATGTTTACATTTTTGCAAATGGATGAGAGATGAACAAGATGCAGGTACTCTGGTTGGGCGTGAGGTTGAAGATGAAGTTCAGGCCATAAACTTGATTTCTAATATATATTTATTGTTTTATTTATATGGACGAATGTATAGCCACCCTAGTGGTAAAGCCTGCGCCTGTTCACCCTTAAGTCCTGGGTTCAAGCCCCAGCGTGACCTTTTGTGATTTTTCATATTTTTCACATATTTTGACCTTTTTTGGCAGCGCTGGGCCTCATCCCCTTGGGCCTTATATTTTTTTTACTTCTGACCCCCCTTGCTGGCTATTTACACCCCTGGCCCATTTTATTTTCTTTTTCTCAATTTTTATTTATTTGTTTTCTTAAATATTTCATCTAATACTTAAAAAAATCAGAAAAAATATAAAAATATAAGATTTATATTTTGATATAGTTTATTTATTTTTTACAATAAAAATCATTTTATTTAGTCATACTTTATTTATTTTACTAATTGATTTGTAAATTTAATTAGAAACTAGGTTTTTAGTTATTTTCTTTTCCACAATTAAAATATATTATTTTAAAATATAAAAAGACCAAAAATATTTTTATAATACTATAAATTATTTTTAAGACAAAAATACCTAAAATATTCTTCTTACAAACTTAATTTCTTTTTTAATCAATTAATAGATTAAGTTATTTAAATTTTTTCCCTAGTAAATTTAGGTCTACTTTTCACTAATTTAATTAATTATTTTTTTAAAGTTAATTAGGTTAAAACAAAACCCCTTTTCCCTAAAAAATCCAAAAAAAATCCATTTTGTTTCCATTTTACATTCTTGTATATTTACTCATTTTTGTATATTATTTATCCAAATTCAATATGGTTGTAATAGATAATTAGGTTTATTTTCTAGTAATCCCCATTTGTAATTTGTACACCCCCTCCCACAAGTATTGTAATAGCATAGTAATTTTAAATTCTTCAATTTATCGCTTTATATACAAATACTAGTAATTAGGGTTTGTATGGGAAGACTAAAACCAATCAATTAGAAAACCCTAATCAAAGACAAAACCAAGCATGGAAAATAATACACTTGCACACAAGCACCCTTAGGATAAAATCCACTTGGTTGTCTTATAAAATGGCCATATTATGCATGTAAGATATCTTAGCAAAATATAAGATCACAGTCCCTCGATGACGTTATCTATGTTGCCTTTCAAATGATCTTAGTCCCTAAAAGATAATGCTAAGATACCTTGCAACATTGCTAATCATTGTTATACGATGACCCACGCCCGCCCCATTTACATTCAAAGATAGGGTTGCTTACCAAATCAATGGTAAGATAACAATGTCAAAGGAAAAGGAAATGGATAAGAAAAACTTTTTAGTAGGTAGAATGCTCCTAATCACTTGCTGCATTTCAAAACAAAACATCCTTGTTATTTTCAAAACAAACACCAATACTTTCAAAAAGATCTTTCAAACTTGAAAACATTTTCAAAAGATCAAACACTTTGTATACATTCTTACGAACGAGAATCATTACAAAGTTTGCCTAAACAATGACCTCTTTACAAAATACTTTCAAAAACCACACAAAAGCATAATTTCAAACAAAAGCAAGTGATCTAGCAAGTAACTAAGAGCCCATGGAAAACCATGGATGAAAAGGATGCTAATACCTTCCCTTTTCATAATCTATCCCCCGAACTCAAGAAATAATCTCAAAGGTCTTTCCTGTGCTTTTTCACTTTTCTTTTTGGATAAAAGAAAAGTCGGTGGTGACTCTTGCTAACCGCAACATTTGCAATCAAACGCAAAACACCCAAGTCAGTTCTCCCACCGTATCACACCTACGTTGAAGTCAAAGTTGAAATACTCTAAAGACCACTATACAGAAATGAGAGAAAATAAAGAAAGATAAAGAAGAACACTACAAGATTTTATTCAACTTCTAATCAAATACATCTTGGTAGATCTCAGAAGAAGCAATGAGTTGTTGCTCGTAGCTTGCTCAACAAGAAGATGAAGAAGAAGAACACTACAAGATGCTACTCAACTTCTGATCATATACATCTTGATAGAACATTGTAATGAACATAAGAGTTGTTGCTCTTACTGTGTTTCAGTTTGAATCTCTTCATGTAAATTGTTTTAACACTAGAGTTATTGCTTAAAGATGTGTTGAACAATATGTGCTTAAAACATTTGTGTAATCTACTTAGAAGAAGCAATCATGAAAACACAAGAACCTTATCAAATATTGTTGATTAGTTCCTTGAGAGACTGAGTGAAGGTCTAATCTCAAGAAGACAACGGTTGTTGGTCGTTGTAGGAAATCCGAATAGATGATCTTGAGGGATCTGATTCTACTGGATTATTGATTATTATATTCCTTAAATTAGATTATTGAACATATCATTGGAAAGTTCCTTGAGAGACTGGGTGAAGGTCTGATCTCAAGAAGATAATGGATGTTGGTCATTGTAGGAAAACTTGATAAAAGATATTGAGAGATCAGACTCTATTGGGTCAATGAACGTTATATCATGTGGGATTCCTGAACGTGTCATTGTGTGTTAGTCACCGGCCGTTGCCCGTGCATTTGTAATCAGTTTGGTTATAATGGATTAAGTTCTTGGTGAAGGCGGAATCATCCTTGAGGGAGTGGACAGGATTAACCTTGTTTAAGATGAACCTGGATAAATTCTTGTGTCCTTTATTCTTCATTGTCTTTATCGTTATTATCATTTGAGTGCTCTGAATTTCTAAAGGGGGATGTTATCTATAAACCCAATTCAATCTCCCTCCCCTTTCTTGTGTTTTCTCTACCTTCAACCTTTTCCCCAGTCGACAGGTTATAATCTATTTGTCTTCTAATCTCTTTTGTTGTTCATAACAATATAGTTATATATCAAATGGATGTCAAAAATGTGTTTCTAAATGGATATATCTCTGAAGAAGTATATGTACGCCAACCTCCTGGTTTTGAGAATACTTAACTACCAGAACATGGTTTTAAAATTAAAATACCCATGTACGGTCTTAAACAGACTGCTAGAGCTTGGTATGAAAGACTTAGCTTTTTTTTGGTGGAAAATGGTTTCTAAAGATGGCGAGTGGGCACTACTCTCTTTTGTAAAAAATTTAGAAATGATCTTATGATATGTCAAATCTATTTAGACGATATAATTTTTGGTTATGCTAATTCCTCTATTTGCAAAGAATTTTCTGAGCTAATGCAGGCAGAATTCAAAATGAACTTAATGCAAGAATTGAAGTATTTTCTGGGAATTCAAATTCATAAAACCTCAGAAGCTACCTACGTTCATCAGAATAAATATACAAAAGAACTTCTGAAGAAATTTAACATGTCAAAATGTAAACCTACTAAGACTCATATGCATCCCACATGTATTCCGCAGAAAGAAGATGTAAGTACAAAGGTTTGTCAGGAGCTCTATCGTGGTATGATAGGCTCTCTTTTCTATCTCACTACTTCTCGTCCAGATATTCTATTTAGCGTGTGTCTTTGTGCTCGTTTTCAATCAGATCCAAGGGAAACTCATTTAACTATTATTAAGAGAATCCTAAAATATATGAATGAAACTCCTATCCTTGGCTTGATGTATAAGAAAACATCATAATACAAGCTATCAAGGTTCTGTGATGCAGATTATGCTGGTGACAGGATAGAATGTAAAAGCACTTCTGGAAACTGTTAGTTTCTAGGTAATAACCTCATCTTCTGGTCTAGCAAAAGTAAATCAACGATCACTCTATCAACAGTAGAAGCAGAATATATTTCAGCATCACTTTACAACACTCAGATGCTCTGGATGAAGAATCAACTGGAGGATTTTCATATCTATAAGAATGGTATTCCCATCTACTGTGATAACACTGTTGCTATATGTCTCAGTAAGAATCATATCCTACACTTTAGAGATAAACACATAGAAATTAAACATCATTTAATTAGAGACTATGTTCGAAAAGGGACTCTCATTTTGAAATTCATAGATACAGACCATCAATGAGTTGATATCTTTACAAAATCCTTAACTGAAGATAGATTTATGTTCATTCTGAAGAACTTAAACTTGATATATTGTCTAGAATGAATAATTTCTACTTTTTAACTTGACTAAATATTTCTTTCACTAATATTTCTGAGTTAGAAGATGTCCGTGTCAGAAATATCTCAAAATTAACAAAACCTATTTGAGATTCTTAAGATTGATTTTCAACAATCAGTTAAAATTTAAAATGATACTTGTCAATTCAAGTCTTAACTAAAGTTGTTGGAAATACTTTGAGGAACAAAATATTTTCTTCAGAATAGTTTAAAATCCTTCATGTTTCATCCCTATTTTTGAATATGTCAAACAGGTCCTCATCTTTAATTGAATCATTGGAAAAATCACCAAAAATTTCTAAAAACCTCTCTCATTCATCTCTCTACACCTTCATCCTCATCACAAAATTCTCTCTTGCCATAACCGAGTTCTCTCTGAACTGCATCAAAACCTTCATCATAAACTGCTTCAATCATCATCTTCACTTCTCTGCTTCATCAACATCAAATCAGCAACAAATTCATCATTATTTCTCATCAACAGAAATTCACATTGTACCATCGCAACATCACAAACGCAATAGAACAACACAACATCACGATTCATATAGAAACACACAAAAAACACAAAATCGCAGAAGAATAATTGGAGAAGAGAAGAAGAGAAAAGAGCAAGCGAGTAACGTATACCTGAGCCACGGTTGAAAAGCGACTCGTCTCCGACAGGTAAGCCTTGAGCTCTCTTTTTCCTTATTCTTTTTTGCTTCAATCTTTGTACTAGCGTATGGAAAAGGTTGAGTAGAACGTAGATCTTCATCTTGGTATCCACGTCGTGTTTTTTGTTTCGGTTTTGAGAAGAGAACAAAGTAGAGATGTTGAGGGAAGAGGCGGAAGCGAGACATACGGAGAAGGGAGGAAGTTGATGAGTGCAAGATCATGGCGGCTGAACCTTTCACGACGACGGTGGAATAGTGAAGAGAAGGAGAAGGATGATGTTTGCGGCGCCGAGTTTAGATGAGGGAAAGGCTTTGTTCGAAGGAAGCTTGAGAGTCACAAACATATTTTGAACCATAACACGTAATAAACGACTCTGTCACCTTCTTTTGCTTCATTTTTTTTTTATTGATAATAAAATTAACAATAATTTTGATAATATAAATCTGGTGCTGATATTGTTGGTGTTTGACCAAATGTGAGATCCTTAGGCCCATGTTATCTTTTTTTTGACACATTAAGCAGCTGATGGACTGAACCCTTGCTAGGCCTGTTGGCTTTATTTTTGTACAACCTTATTGTCATGCACAAAAAATTGCTTGTGGACCTTTCTTGTTGGGTTGTAGTGTCTGATAGTGTCTGATTCATTACTACACCACACAACCTAATGTCAGCCTTGCACCCTTGGGCTTCACTCTTTTTTTCAGTTTCTTTTATTTTGATTATTTATAATTGTTTTAATTTCTTTACATAAAAATGATATAAATAATAATTAGAATTGCGTGTTGATATTTTTAGGAGTATTATTTTTGACTTTAGACTTTTATTTTATTTGCTTTGTATTTGATTTAAATTCAAAAAAATGTGAAAAAGATATAAAATGTCTTGATGATTGTTCTTGATAGAATTGTTGATTGATCTTGATGACCTTGTTGATGATTGCTTGATGATATTCATGATAAATGTCAAAAATATTAGATAGTATTTCTTTTATTTTTGTTATTTATTTGGTTGATTATGTCATGCTCTTTTAGGACTTTTAATTCAATTTTAATCTCTTGATTAAATTGAACTAATTAGATCTTAGGATTATAAATCATGCATGATAACTCTTTAGGTAGATTCCCCTTGATTCGAACTTTAGGGCCGTCATTGCATGAAAACAAATAGGACCAAGTTTTCCTTAGATTTTTCCTTCTTTTTCATTGCATGCTCTTAAAACTAAACATCTTTCTTAAACAAAGTTCAAAATACTTAACAAATAAAGAGGCGAATCGTATGCAATTGGGTCTTTTGGAAAAGAGTGAGGCAGTTCATTCCTAACCTTGCTCTTCTTCTGTTCCTGGAATTTATTACGATTCAAATCGCAAACAGTTTTCACAAATAAGTTAAGAAGTAGTAAGTGTGCCTACATTGGGATCCGTTTGCTATTATCCACATTGGGAGAGGTAGTAAGTGTCTCCATATTGGGATCTATTTGCTATTATCTACTTGGAGAAATAGTAGGTGCCCCTGCATTAGGAGTCATTCACTATTATCCCAACAAAACACTCAACAAATGCAAACTTTTTTTTCCTTAGGGCTTTTCTTTTGAAAATGTTTTCAGAAAAGGACATGTTATTTGCGTTCTACCACAAACAGGTAACACGTAAATCTCCAAAGTTCGAGCGGCAAACACTTAAGTGCTATAATGCGAATGTAACATCGCATACTAAAAGACACCAACAAATCAAATTTTTTTAGAAGAACTATGGTGCTTTGATTCCTCCGGGATACGTATGCCTTGGGTTTCAAAACCTAAGTAAGTACAATAATAAAAAACCTATTTTCTCTAATCATTTCTCTCATTCATTCCCTTAGCAATTAAGTTTTAGATGTAACACACCCTTTAATTAGAATAACTAGAGTGGATTCTGTTGAGTACAATAGACGTGAGGGGCGCTAATACTTTTTCCTTGTGTAATCGACTTTCGTACCCTACTCTTGGTCACAAGACTATGTTCTTTCCATTTTTTAGGTTTTCTCGATGTTCTCCTTCCCTTCTTTTGGGATAAATAACGTTCGATGGCGAATCTGTTTGCATCAGTATTTTTCGCGGTAGCAACAGGTGCTAGCAATGATTCTAATGATCTTATCTAGAATCAAATAGAATATTATTTCTGCATACTTAAAGAAACTATTAGAACACAAAATTGTTACATATAAAATATATGCATTGTTATCATCAAAATTAGAGATTATATGCAGAACCAAATCTTGTGCTAACAATACACTATGTAGCCTTTTCAGCGCTCAAAGTATGCTAGCATGATACACTTTTGTGCTTTAGAATTAAACTTGTTAAGATTCTCTTTAATGTTCAACATAAAACAATCACATCTAAAAGGATGAAAATATGAAATTTTGGGTTTTATGTTCTTCCATAATTCATAGGGAGTCTTACCTAGAATAGGTCTTATAGAGACTTTGAGATTCCGAAGGAAGCGAGTAAAGTATATAAGTTGCACAAAGCGCTCTATGGCCTCATGCAGGCACCTAGAGAATGGAACAAGAAGATCGACTGATACTTAGTCGAATTGGATTTGTAAAATGCAAGTCTATGTATGGTGTCTATGTCCAGGTTATGGCACAAAATATAACAATCATCTGCTTATATGTCGACGACTTGCAAGTAACTGGAAATAGTTTAGAGAACTTGACAAAGTTCAAAGCTTCCATCATATCGATTTCTTCTAGAGGAGATAATTTTGCAGATGCAGTTAGGCACAAGGGAATGGGCTCTGGAGCTAGAGCGGCGCACCATAACCTATATTTCTTCCAAGTTCTATGCTACAGTAAGCCTGCATGGTATACGAATTATAATTCATCCAACTTCTGAAGTTGTCATAAAGGAATTCAATTCTTCTTGAACTAATGTTGGTAAAAGAGTTTCTCAGAGTGTAGAGAATAAGGTCTTGAGCATACTTCTGAAAAGAGTGCATCACTTCATCCAAGTGGAAAAACGATTATTGTTTTTACAAAACAGAGGATGGGGTGTGCCATAATAAGGATGTGATTCCTTATCAGATAGATCATTGAAATCTTGAGCATCCTCTTTAGACTCATTGTCTTCATAAGGATCAACTTGAATTCCAGTGTTCTGTAGTGTAGGATGGGTGGATAAAGAAGGTGTGTGAAGTGGAGTAAGTGGGTTTTTTTAAAAAAAATAGTTTTTTATAATGATTTAAAAAGTTTTGAAAATTGTAAAAATCCTGAGAAGGGGTAAAGCGTGAAGATTTTTCACCTTATTCCAATAAGATTTTGTGTCCCAATGAGTCACATCAAGTGCTAGGTGTTCTTCAGAAAAAACAATTGTCTTATTTTGAATCACCAACATTTCACTATCCTGACACCATTATTTAAGTAAACTCTTCAGTTTCCAACGGACAGAAGCATTCTAGTGAAAAGATTATGACCTTAGATACTTCTGATTCATGAGAACTTCACTTCATCAGAAGCCTCATATTCTTGAAGAAACAAAAAAAAATCAAACTATAGAGTCTAATTTTCCATTCTGGAACACCAACACTCTGAGATTGCTTCATTTTAGGCACGAAACCATTTTTCAATGTTTCAGAACGAAAAATTAGCTTATCTTCAGCAAGGTTTTTTTTTAAAGATATCAACCCATTGACGGTATAAATCTATGAGTTTTGAAGATAAAATTCCCTTCTGAACATAGTCTCTAATGAAATTAGGCTTAATCTCAATATGTTTAGCCCAAGAATGTAAAATTGTATTCTTAGACAAACAAATTCTAGAAGTATTTTCATAGAAGATAGGAATGTTACTCTCAAATATTTGATAATCTTCTAGTTGAATCTTCATCCAGAGAATCTGGGTGCTGCATCCAGAAGTAGAAATGTATTCGACTTCTGCGGTTGAGAGCACTATTGTTAATTGCCTTTTGCTCGACCATGAGATCACATTGTCTCCCAAAAATTGACAGCTTTCAGAAGTGTTTTTCCTCTCTAATATGTCTCCAACATAGTCAACATCACCATAGCTTACTAACTTGTATTCACTTGATTTTCTATAACTGAAACCAAGGTTAGTAGTATCTTTAAAATACCTAAATATCCTCTTAACAACAGTTAAGTGTGATTCTCTAGGATCTGATTAGAAGCAAGCACACAAGCAGACACTGAATAGAATATCAGGCCTAGAAGCAGTCAAATATAATAGATAACCTATCATACTTTTGTACAACTTTTGATCTACCTTACCACTTACCCCTTCCTTCTCTAGAATGCAAGTAAGATGAATAGGTGTTTTTTCTATCTTGCATTCAGACAAGTTAAACTTTGTTGTACCCCAAAATTTTCCCTCCCATTTCCTCAACATTTTCTCATCACAAGACCCTTGGAGCTCAAGATCAAGTTAGGGTTTACTCTGCTCAAGACTCCTCCTTGCACTGTTGACCCAAATTAGGGTTTGAGTTTGCACAAAGATGTTTTGACCTAAAAGGCCCAAGATGACTTTAATGCTTCATGTTTGAATCACAAGTTTATCCATACCAAGTTTCAAGCCTTGATTCCAATCTTTGCCCAGTCAATTGGACAGTTGACCTAGAAATTAGCTGTATTGGGGAAAAAGTCAACTGTGGTCAATTGACAGTCAAACCTCATGATTTTTGACCCACATCAACATTATGAACTCATTTGGACCATTTGATAAAGTTTGGATCACAATTCCACAAGAAATTTGATCAGATCACCAAAAGGGCAAAATGGTCATTTTTAGGGTTTTGACTGCACAAAGGCAATTTTTGACTGTTTGACCTAGCCAATGGCAAACCAAGCTCACATATGGACTCAAGGACTCAATGGAATTGTCTTGACATGTTCAACAAGTTCAAAAGATCCCAAATGCACAAGATTGACAGATGAATTTTCCAGTCAACTGATCAAATTTGACTGTATACTGAAAAGTCAAACTTTGACTTTTTGGTC